AGAGGGAACACTGGCTGGAACTGACGTGCTGACAACCAATGCTTCCTCTAAGCTGTGGAGTCTTGTGGGCAAAAATTCAGCTTTGTAAGCAAGCGATTTGGCTCCTGCATAAATTAGTTCACTCTGGAGCCATCCTTCCTCAGAGTGGCTTACAATCTCCTTTCCCTTCCCCTCCCCACAACAGACGTCCTGTGAGGTAGGTGGGGCTGAGAGAGCTCAGAGAGACCCGTGACTGAGCCAAGGTCACCCAGCTGGCTGCATGTGGAGGAGTGGGGGAATCAAACCCGGTTCTCCAGATTAGAGTCCTCCACGCTTAACCACGACACCAAACTGGCTCTCAGGACCAATGTTCCCTCTAAGCTGTGGAGTCTTGTGAGCAAAGATTCTACTTTGTGAGCTCCTGGCATCAAAGTTGTGAGCGAGACTTGGTTCCTCCATCAATCAGTTTGCTCTGGAGCCCCATCCCTTCCTGAGCAGAGACAAAAATGTGTGAGCCGGAGGCTAAAAAACTGTGAGCTGGCTCACACTCACTCAGCCTAGAGGGAACACTGCTCAGGACCAATGTTCCCTCTAAGCTGCAGAGCCTTGTGAGCAAAAATGCTACTTTGTGAGCTACTGGCATTAAAGTTGTGAGCGAGCCATTTGGGTGCTGCATCAATTAGTTTGCTCCGGAGCCCTCCTCCCTGAGCGGAGACAGAAACGTGTGAGCCGGAGGCTAAAACACTGAGCTAGCTCACACTCAGTCAGCTTAGAGGGAACACTGCTCAGGACTAGACAAGACGGACCATGATGGACCGATGGTCTGATTCCGGGCAACAGGGCCGCGGCAGATCGGTCACGAGAGGCGGGACTCACTTGCTGCAGTTCTGCAGGTTCGCCTTGATGATGTCATAGTCAGTGTTGTACAGTGGACTGCTGTCTTTCAGCATGGCTTTCTGGATACTGTAGACGTGCACGCTGGCAATGCTGGACAGCTTCGCCTTCATCGCTGAAGAGGAAACAGAAGGGTTGTAGGGGGGGATGCTGATTTCACACGGGGATGGTTCGTACTGTACGGCAGCCCCCAGGCAAGGGATCTGGGAACCCATTTCCCTGGGTGTGTAAGAAAGGGCCACAAGAAAGGAGGAGGAGATTGGATTTATACCCTGCCCTTCACTACCCAAAGGTGTCTCAGAGCGGCTTACAAACTCCTTTCCCTTCCCCTCCCCACAACAGACACCCTGGGAGGCAGGCGGGGCTGAGAGAGCTCTGACAGAAAGGGCTCTTTTTTCAAGAACAGCTCTTATCAGAACTAGGGCTCGCCCAAGGTCATCCAGCCAGGTGCAAGTGGAGGAGTGGGGAATCAAACCCAGTTCTCCCAGATTAGAGTCCGCGCACTTAACCACTAGAAGAAGAAGAGATTGGATTTATACCCCGCCCTTCACTACCCAAAGGAGTCTCAGAGCGGCTTACAAACTCCTTCCCCTTCCCCTCCCCATAACAGACACCCTGTGAGGTAGGGGGGGCTGAGAGAGCTCTGACAGAAACGGCTCTTTTTTTCAAGGACAGCTCTTATCAGAACTATGGCTTGTCCCAGGTCATCCAGTCAGGTGCAAGTGGAGGAGTGGGGAATCAAACCCGGTTCTTCCAGATTAGAGTCCGCACACTTAACCACTAGAAGAAGAGAAGAGATTGGATTTATACCCCGCCCTTCACTACCCAAAGGAGTCTCAGAGTGGCTTACAAACTCCTTTCCGCTCCCCACCCCACAACAGACACCCTGTGAGGTAGGAGGGGCTGAGAGAGCTCTGACAGAAACGGCTCTTTTTTCAACAGCTTTTATCAGAACTAGGGCTTCCCCAAGGTCATCCAGCCAGGTGAACTGGAAGAGTGGGGAATCAAACCCGGTTCTCCCAGATTAGAGTCCGCGCACTTCACCACCACACCAGACTGGCTCCAAACTGGCACCAAACTACACCAAAGTATTAGAAGGGTTTGAAATACAGGTTTAATAAAGGGTTTTGTATTTGAATTAGTCAAGGATGTGTGTTTCCCCCAGCTGTGCTTGTGCTGACATCAATCACAGAGGACACACATACAGCCCCCCCCCACCGAATAAGCATCTCTAGAAGCCCAGGTAGCAGCCACTGCCTAGTCAGCCTTTTGTCATCTTAGGCTGATTCGGCAGTTGGTTCCCTTCCTCGACCGTGCTGACCTGGCTACAGTGATCCACGCGATGGTTACCTCGAGACTAGACTACTATAACGCTCTCTACGTGGGGCTGCCTTTGTCGCAGATTCAGAAGCTGCAGCTAGTGCAGAATGCCGCGGCCAGGCTGTTGATGGGTCTCCCTAGATGGGAGCACATCCAGCCTGTACTGGAGAGCCAGTTTGGTGTCGTGGTTAAGTGCGCGGATTCTAATCTGGGAGAACCGGGTTTGATTCCCCACTCCTCCACTTGCAGCTGGCTGGATAGCCTTGGGCAAGCCCTAGTTCTGATAAGAGCTGTTCTTGAAAAAAGAGCAGTTTCTGCCAGAGCTCTCTCAGCCCACCCACCTCACAGTGTGTCTGTTGTGGGGAGGGGAGGGGAAGGGAGAGGAGTTTGTAAGCTGCTCTGAGACACCTTTTGGTAGTGAAGGGCGGGGTATAAATCCAATCTCTTTTCTTCTTCTTCTGTACTGACACTGCACTGGCTACCAATAGCATACCGAGTCCGCTTCAAGGTGCTGGTTCTTACCTTTAAAGCCTTATATGGCCGGGGTCCAACATACCTACAGGACCGCCTTTTCCTGTACGTACCCCAGAGAGCACGACGGTCTGGGTCTCAAAATCGCTTGACCCTCCCTGGCCCGAGGGAGACCAGGCTAGCTGCTACTAGGGCCGGGGCCTTTTCGGTGGCGGCCCCTACCTGGTGGAACGAGCTCCCGGAGGAGATCAGAGCCCTGCGGGACCTCTCACAGTTCCGCAGGGCCTGCAAGACGGAGCTCTTCCGCCAGGCATACAATTAGGGGCCGCCGCCGCCGTAGCGCACGGCCCGCAATGTCATCATTGAGCAGCTGCCATAAGAGTTGACGAGCAGAATAACATCTAAGCACTTCTATGCTGGAAGTTGGAAATCCATTTGAAAGCATTCCATCTGACTGAATTTTTAACCGCTGCTAGCACTTTGTAATGTATTATTTTAACGGTGATGTTTTCATTACGTATTATGTATGTTTTATTTTGTAGTTATGTTATTGGAAGCCACTCTGAGCCTGCTTTGCAGGGAGGGCGGGGTATAAATCTGACAACAAATAAATAAAATCGAGAGGGTGCAGAAGAGAGCGACGAGGATGATCAGGGGCCTAGAGACCGAGCCCTACGAGGAAAGGTTGAGGGCCTTGGGAATGTTTAGGCTGGAGAAGAAGAGACTAGGGAGGGACACGATTGCTCTCTTTAAATATCTGAAAGGCTGTCCTTTGGAGGAGGGCAAAAAGCTGTTCCAGTTGGCGGCAGAGGAGAGGACCCGAAGCAACGGGTTTAAATTATATGCAGAAAGGTATCGGCTGGATATCAGGAAAAACGTTTTCACAGTCAGAGTGGTTGAAAGGTGGAATCAGCTGCCCAGGGAGGTGGTGAGCTCCCCTTCACTGGCAGCTTCCAAGAAGGGGCTGGACGAATATTTGTCAGAGATGCTCTAGGCTGGTCCTGCATTGGGCAGGGGGAGGGGGTTGGACTAGATGACCTCTGTATGGACCCTTTCCGACTCTATGATTCTGTGATTCTGTAACAGTGAAATCAGCTGCCTGGAGAGGTGGTTGGCTCCCCTTCACTGGCAGCTTTCAAGAAGAGGCTGGACGAATATTGGTCAGAGATGCTCTAGGCTGGTCCTGCATTGGGCAGGGGGTTGGACTAGATGGCCTCTGTATGGACCCTTTCCGACTCTATGATTCTATGAGGAGACGGCCTGTCACATTCCCAACAATCCTGCTCTCCGTGAACCTACCTTCGAGCCGGTCTTCTTTCACTACTGCAACCTTGTGGCACTGCAAAGAAAAGACAGTCCGTAATGAACACACATTTTCACTGACTGACCCAATAGACCAGTGCTCTGATCCTCAACACATCTTATCAAATCTGGTGGGTTTCTACTGGAACTTCACTCTCAAGTAAGCTTTTAGGGCCACAGTCTCGGACTCCTTCCACTTCCCCTGTCGTCCTTGGACTTCAACACTTTCCACAGCCAGCCATTGAACTTGGGTGTCAGGTAGCCCTGTTTGGTGTAGCGATTAAGTGCGCGGACTCTAATCTGGGAGAACCGGGTTTGATTCCCCACTTCTCCACTTGCACCTGGCTGGATGACCTTGGGCAACCCGTAGTTCTGACAAGAGCTGTCCTTGTAAAAGAGCTGGATTTATACCCCGCCCTTCACTTGGAGTCTCAGAGCGGCTTACAAACTCCTTTCCCTTTCCCTCCCCACAACAGACACCCTGTGAGGTGTGTGGGGCTGAGAGAGCTCTTGACAGAAACTGCCCACTACACCAAACTGGCTCTCCGTATGTAGAAGAGGAAGAGAAGAGATTGGATTTATACCCCACCCTTTACTACCCGAAGGAGTCTCAGAGCGGCTCACAAACTCCTTTCCCTTCCCCTCCCCACATCAGACACCCAGTGAGGCAGGTGGGGCTGAGAGAGCTCTGACAGAAACGGCTCTTTTTCAAGAACAGCTCTTATCAGAGCTACGGCTCGCCCAAGGTCATCCAGCAGGTGCAAGTGGAGGAGTGGGGAATCAAGCCCGGTTCTCCCAGATTAGAGTCCGCGCACTCAACCACGACACCAGACTGGCTTGCATGTCCCCGGAGTTGAGCTTGGTTTGTCTTGGGGGTGCCGCTGGACTCAAGCTCCGTTCTCACATCTGTTAGTTAGCTCTTGCATCTGTGTGCTAATCTTCTGCCATTCATTGATCTTACCGGCCACCTTGATACAGTCTCAGCTTTATTTACACATCTTGGCTCTCTGACTCATCCTTCCTGACAGCCACCCCCTCACCCCAATCTTCCTGTATGCACGGCTTGAGGAAATCCTGTTTCAGTCTGTCTCTGAGGAAGTGTGCCTTGCACACGAGACCTCATACCTTGAATAAAAAGTTGTTAAAAGGTGCCGCTGGACTCAAACTTTGCCCTGCTGCTTGAGACCAACACGGCCGCCCCACCGGACTCTTTCTTTGTTCTTGATATATACGTTTTGCAGCACAGCGCTGCCCTCCTCTGGGCAGAGTCGCTTACTGCAAGAGAATCTGATCGTTTCGTTTGCTGCCGCTTCATTCAACAGCACTATGCCAAGAAAAATCTTTGTTAACATTTAACCTTCCAAAAAAATGCACAAAAAAAACCCTGGTAAATCCCACTGTTGGTGTACAACTATGAAGATCCCACTGTGATCTTCTATGAAACAACTACGAAAAAGAAGAGATTGGATTAATACCCCGCCCTTCGCTACCCGAAGGCATCTCAGAGTGGTTTACAATCTCCTTTCCCTTCCCCTCCCCACAACAGACAACCCCGTGAGGCAGGTGGGGCTGAGAGAGCGCTCTCAAGGACGTGAGAGAACGTCAGAGGAAGTCAAAACACTCACTGTGTGCCCATTCTGAACGACGTTTCCTGCCACCAAGTAGACGACGTGCAGCTGGGCTCCCGAATTCTCCTTTCGCTTTCTCTCCACATAATCGTACAGCATCCTTGCAGAAAAAAAAAACCCAAAGCTATTAAAAAAGGGGCCCGAACGCTTCAAATTTTTATTCAACGTCCCAGTGCCCGTTCACTTACAAAAGGATTAAAGCAAATGTTCGCTCTGAGGCTGAAGCGTCTTGAACTGAAGGCCGTTCTAACAGTGGCCAACAATGTTCCCTCTAAGCTGTGGAGTCCTGTGAGCAAAAATTCTACCTTGCGAGCTACTGGCATTAAAGTTGTGAGCGAGCAATTTGGCTACTGCCTACATTAGTTTGCGCTGGAGCCATCCTTCCTGAGCTGAGTCAAAAATGTGTGAGTCGGAGGCTAAAAAATAGTGAGCTAGCTCACACTAACTCAGCTTAGAGGGAACACTGGTGGCCAACCCATTTCTGAATTCTGCCACTGCAAGTGGAAGCCCACATGACTGGGTGCTTTTCCATACCAAGATATTCTCTCCCTGTAGCAAACTAGCATGCGAAGAAAGAGAGAGTTCTTGTCCGCTTTTGTTTCCCTGACATGCTGGCTTTCTACACGCAGGGGATTTATTTTTGCACTGAGGAGCAGTCGTGACAGCCCTTGTCTCCAGTCTGAAGCGCCACAATCCAGAAAGAGGTTTCCTTCTTCTTCTTCTTTTTTATAAACAGTTTATTAGGATATAATAAAAGTTCATACATATAACAAATAACTGATTTCCATACATCCTTTTCTCCTAATCCCCTCCCCTTTATTGGCTTCCCACAGTGCTCCAACCTCCAGCCCACAACTTAAATTCTCTCCATATCCCTCTTATTTATTAATCACATTCTACAGGTAACATATCTTTCAATTATTGTTCTTATATAATTATCCTTTTTCTATTGTCATTCAGTTTTCAGTAGTTATCATAGCAAATTAAATTGTTCTTTACACCCCAGTATGTCTCTAAATATTCTTTAAAGTCTTTCCAGTCTTCAAAACATTCCTCCGCCTCCAGATTCTTAAGTTTCCTGGTCATTTTGTCCATTTCGACCATTAAAAGTAATTTCTTTATCCATTCTCCAATTTCAGGAATTTTATAGGGGTTTCCTTCTTCTGATTCGGCTTGCAAGCACCAGGCCTAGGATTATACGCTGAGGCCGAAATGATCGCCAAAATAACGGCCTGTGCCAATACGACCGAGCGGTGAGAAGAAGAAACAAAAAGGGCAAACATTTGACAGGCGATGCCTTCGTCAGCCGCTCTCAAGCCTACACACATGCGAATTCCATCCCGCTTCTGTTTTACGAACGTGGCTTTTATGCAGGGTCATGCAGGTTCACATGGTTAAAAAGCACCTTTTGATCATTTCGGCTAGATTGAAGTCCAACAACATTTCAGGGTAGAAACTTCTGAGAGTCAAGTCTCCCTCCAACAGATGACATATCGGACAAAGGGCGCTTTGACTCGCAGCAGCCGATACCCCAAAAATCTCGTTGGTCCCTAAGGTTGTCGGACTGGGTAGTGACTCTCAGACGCAATAAGTCCTTTGATTGGCTTTATTGTAGAAAATCAGAAGAGTTGCATACAAGTCAAACGCTTTGACAGAACTGACAGATAGTTGTCAGATCCCACAGCAACAACGAGATGCACACTTCTTAGAAGGTTATACGTTTATTGAAGCCATAGGTACGTGATCAAAGTCACTGTTTAGAATGGGGACCATTGAGGTGCATATAGGATTATAGTGCATTCAAACAAGCCATAGCCTATTAGGATGTTTCCCGCGCGCACCGGGATTCCCGCGCGTGCCAGGAGGCCTGAGAACCAACCGTCCCAGTAACCCAAACAATTCCGTGTTTCTCACGGTACATCCCAAGCACATGAAAGCAAAACAACTCGCAACTCCACCTGCGGCCTTGGGAGATATGCATTGCATTGCAGCCAGCAATTAAGCGCTTGGGTAACTATGCGCAGGAGCAGGGTAGGGGAATATGGAAGTAACAGGAGAGGGGAGATACAAGAAAGGCAATCTTTGGCAGCTAGCTGACAATAGTTCAAAGCCAGAATCTACAGGACCTCTGGTCCAGCCCTCGTACATACGTCAGCATTGCATAGTAAAGTAACAGGTTAAGTAAAGATAAAGGTTCCCTTGCTCGAAAGCCAGTCAAATCCGACTCTAGGGTTGTGGTGCTCATCTCCGTTTCAAAGGCGAAGAAGAGAGAAGAAGAAGAAGAGATTGGATTTATACCCCGCCCTTCACTTGGAGTCTCAGAGCGGCTTACAAACTCCTTTCCCTTCCCCTCCCCACAACAGACACCCTGTGAGGTGGGTGGGGCTGAGAGAGCTCTGACAGAAACTGCTCTTTTTCAAGGACAGCTGTGCCAGAGCTTGTGACTGACCCAAGGTCACATCAGCAGGTGCAAGTGGAGGAGTGGGGAATCAAACCCGGTTCTCCCAGATTAGAGTCCGCACACACATTCACCAGAGCAAAGCTACGTACATCGGAGACTCAGGCATGCATGTATAGTGACCCAATGACCAGGCAAGGGTCCGATTCTGACAAAGGTGCTGCTGGAATTAAACCTGGGTGTTCTACTGCAGACCAACGAGGCTAACCTCTGGAACTACCATTCAATTGCTGACTTCCCTCATGTTAGCCTATTTCTCTGCCTTAGTCCAGGAAAGTGTCAGAATATGAATATAGAGGCACAAGTGCAGAGATAATGTTTACATGTATAAAGTTAGGTTGCGCCTGCAAAACTACTTGAGGATACAAGCTTGAGAGATGTGGGCGTGTACTGAGAGACTCTGTCAATCTCATCTGTGTGAGGCAGCCTGAAGTCTGATTGGCTGTCACGACTGTCTTGGTCATACACAGAGATTCTGAGAGTGACAGTTATTCAGTTACTCTCTGTCGGTTGGTGTGTCTGAGCTTAACTGTTGTTAGCTCTATGTTGATCTGTTATTATATACAAAGTTATTGTTTAATCATTCACCAGTTAATAGTTATATAAACACCATTTGACTTAACTGTATTTGGTGTGATTATTTTGAGTCTTCCACGAAACTCTTTAACAATAGTTATATACAAACATACCTTCAACAGAAAGAACTATGAAAAACAGCAAGGAAAGAAACTGGGGGATGCAGACTACCAGCCTTCCAGTACACTCCTATTTTGGTGCAGTGGTTAGGAGTGCAGACTCTAATCTGGGAGAACCGGGTTTGATTCCCCCACGTGCAGCTGCCCGCCTTCTCCGGAATGTCAGAGGAGGATACTTGCTGACAGATTGAAACCTAGCTAGCAGGTGCTGCATGAGATTGGAAATGACAGACAGGGAAGAAGGCATAAGCAAAGATGATGACATTCACCAGAGCAAAGCTACGTACATCAGAGACTCAGACATGCATGTATAGTGACCCAATCCAATCTCTTCTCCTTCTATGTTTCAGACGCAGCACCTGTGCATTTCCCTTTAAACATCACCCCTTTTTGTATTTAGAAAATAGCAAAGCAGCAAGGCATAATGGCACAGATTGCTATCAAGCACGCATCAAGTTCTAGAACAGCCTTAATCACGGAGGGCATAGCTAACTGGTTTTGCCGGCTCTGGGGAGATTCAGCTTTGCAGCATACCACAAAAATTAAAAATAGTAACAAAGGGCAGACATTTGGAATGTACCTTTTGAAAACTGGAAGTAAAACTCACCCCACAACTGCCCACACTCTGAGACAGATGCACCTGGGGCATCGGCATCTTTGAACCAGCCTCTCTTTTAAGAGGGCTGAAGAGGCTACTTGGGGGTTTCTGTCTCTCCCCCCCCCCAAAAAAAAACCCCAGCCCTTTCCCTTCCCTATATAAACACTACTCCCAACCTCTGTTCCCTCGAAGCTGTGGAGTCTTATGAGCAAAGATTCTACTTTGTGAGCTCCTGGCATTAAAGTTGTGAGCGAGCCATTTGGCTGCGGCATACATTAGTTTGCTCTGGAGCCCTCCTTCCTGAGCTAAGACAAAGATGTGTGAGCCGGAAGCTAAAAAAACTGTGAGCTAGCTCACACTAACTCAGCTTAGAGGGAGCACTTCTCCCAACACAAACAAATCCTCCCAAGTTGCTGGCTGACAGTGTTTGCCAGGACTGTCTGAGTTGCTGCTTTTTCATAACCAGGTGAGCAAGACATGATCAGCCAAGGGAGGGGAGAGAATGCCATAAAATCATTGGTTTATGGTGACTGGGGGGGGGGGGGTGTTTGATTTCACTATAAGTCAGAGGCCCTTATACTGACGACCATTCCTGACACAAGCTGTACACGTGTTCTTTAGTACTGGAACCGTCAATAAACAGTTCTCTTCTTATGAAGCCCTGTGTGGTGTGGCCTGACTAAGGAGCCTGACACGGGCATTCTAAAAGAGAGGTGCCACCACTGAAAAAGCCCTGCTCTGGACTCCACCTGCCTCATCTCTGAAGGTGACAGGACAGAGAGCAGGGCTTGAGAGAAGGATCTCAGCTGACAGAAGAAGGCGGAGCTTCAAGTACTCCTGGCTCAAGCCACTTAGGTTCTTAAAGGTAAGAACCAGCACTCTGAATCGTGCCCAGAAAAAGATTGCCGCCCAGTGTAGATCTTTCAGCACAGGGGTCTCCAGTTGTTGACAAAAACTTGGCTGCTGTATCCTGGGACAAATGAAATTTCTCAGCAGTTGTCAAAGACAGCCTCTAATTTCATCTAGAGATGTAAAATTTCCGGAAATGTTGAAGCTCGGGGGAAAACGCCATTTTTTTCCCAGGAAAAAATGGAAATTTTCGGAAAAAATGCTACATTAGCACTTCTTTTTTCTTTTCCGGATTGAAAGTCATTCTGTTACTTTAGGAACATAAAATATGACTACGGACATTTTTACTTGGCATGAAATTATCACAACGAGCCTATTAAAAATATAGTATATCCAAACAATTATTACAAACAGAATACCCACCGACATGCAAAAACAAAACTGAAACTTTTTTCTTTTCTTGTGACAATAGTACCTCCTAAAGGAAGAAATGCATCTTGTGCTTGCATTGGAGTTCAGTTTGTAACCT